AGCGGAGCGAGCGCCCCGGCGCAGAGAGGTCACGGCCCACGGGCTCGCTCCGCCGGGAAACCGCACGGATTCTTTTGTGGTCGTTGTCAGGGCACCGCGGCCCATCCGAGGTCCCTGTAGAAGCGAGCAAAACCTTCAATGCGTAGGAGAGTCCTAGAAAATAAAATTTAAAAAAAAATATTTTTTTGATCACCATCTCTAACAAAGCTATTAGTGGGGCGTGAGACGTTTGGATTTGTAAAATGTGTGTGCATGTTGCAAACATAAACTGCGCGCAGTGGAACAATGGGGGACGGATGGTCTTCCTTTTCCGGTGTCTTCTGTTAGGCTTATTAAAATGGGGCTCTGATATGTGTGGGGCAAGTGGAGAACTTTTGCTCGGGCTGACCTTGGAACGGCACAGTCCCCTCCCCAGTTATCTAAAGTGTTTATGTGGGATCTCTCTGGACAGTGCTCCAGAAAGCGGGGAGATGGGAAGATTGTGCCAGCTGGAGAAGCATTTCTCAATCTGGTACTAGTGACAGTTGGGGGGTCACATAATTCTTGATTGCGGAGGGGTGGGTGCCCAGTGCATTGCAGGAAATTGAGCAGCTCCAGATGCCAGTTGCCCCTCCCCATAAGGATCAAAAATACTTCCAGACATTGCCAGGTATCCCCAGTATACCTCCCTCTTCCTTCCCCCCTCAATCAAACTAAATGATCTTCCAAGAAACTTGTAAAGTTTCTTTGGCCTCATCTCCCAGCATTGCCCATGACCTATTCATGGTAGGCACTGAATACACAAACTCTGGTATCGCTGGTCTCCCATGTCCTGACACTTCACAGATCCTGGTCCCTAGACCTTGAAGTAGATGCTGTTATAATTTCCGCTTTAGAGATGGAGAAACTGAGTCTAGATGGGTCACTTGGCATTATGTACTAAAGTAGCTAAGGCAGGATTTGAACTCAGGCCCTCAAGCTCAAAGCCTTTATTTTGAACCACTGGAGGTACCCTGAGGGGTGGTGTTTCAGAGAGTCCCATTGAACATCTGTGTGTGGGGCTGGGTGTGGCGGCTCACTCCTGTAATCCCAGCACTCAGGAGGCTGAGGTGGGCGAATCACCGTGAGTTCATGGCCGGCAAGACCTATATGGCAAGACCCGTCTCAAAAAGCAAACAGCAACAACCTATACTGGAGCCTGTTTTCAAATTCTATGGCTGCAGCGTTTATGAAGAAAGTGAAAGAGGCGAACATCTCCAGATGTGGCAGGAAGTGAGTTTCTGTTGAAGGACTGGCTTGAAGGGGGCAGAACACTTGGGATCTGTTGAATCTGAGGTCTTGTTTTCTTCCTGATGTTATCAGTTCTCTTTCTCAAATCTCTCTCTCTCTGTCCCATCTCCATCCTCTTTCCACACTTCAGCAAAAGTTGGTTTTTGTTAATGCCAATCTAGTCCTTTCCCTCCTGATTAAAAGTCGTCTATGGGCAGAAAAAAAAGCAAATTTCGTTGACCTTTGTGAGTGGCTTGAAAGAGCCCTAAAGGATACCAGTGCTTTCCTTCTCTAACCCTTCCTTCCTTTCTGACCTCGTCTGCAGAGACCCGACTCACACCCTTCCTGCTTGTCACTCCCTCTGCCAGGAGCAGGGCTCTCTTCCACCTGGAGATCTCCTGCCGCGAGCCCGGCTCCGAGCTCACTCACCACTTGGTGCCTCCTCCAGCTGCCACTCTTCCTCCACCCCCACTGGAATCAACTGTTCCCTGGTTTGTGTTCCCATCCCATTCAATTTATTGAATCGAATTAAATGCTGAATGGTGCGGGGAGGTGCAGTGTTGGCCTGGTGTCCCTAGGTGGCAGCAGGGAGGTGGAGAGATGACCTGAGGCTGTGGGTCAGGGGAAGCTCTAAGAAAATCAGCCTGTAGGAGGGAAGTGAGCCTGGCTTCCCTCCCTGGAACTCTCCCTGCTTCTTCACTGTGTCCTGGACCCTTCCAGAACCTCAGTGTGAACTGGCAATGTTAAAAACAAAAACAAGAGCCGGGCATGGTAGCGCACGCCTGTAATCCCAGCACTTGGGAGGCTGAGGCAGGTGGATTGCTGTGAGCTTGAGACAGCCTGGACTACATGGTGAGTTCCAGGTCAGTCTCAACTACATAGAGAGACCCTGTCTCAAAAAACCCAAAAAACAAAAAACTCATTATTGCTGGGTGTGGTGGTGCACACCTGTGATCTAGCACTCAGGAGGCTGAGGCAGGAGGATCACTGCGAGTTCAGAGCCAGTTTGAACTGCATAGTGAGACCCTGCCTCAAAAACAACCACAAAACCAAACATCAGTGTGTCCGAGTTTTTTTTCTGGTTGTTGTTGTTGGTGGTGGTTTGTTTTTGGCCTTTTGAGGCAGGGTCTTGCTGTGTAGTCCAGGATGACCTTGAACTCACTTTGTAGCCCAGGCTGAACTCAAACTCATGGGGATCCTCCTGCCTTGGCCTCCCAAGTGCTGGGATTACAGCTGTGCGCCAGCACACTTGGCACCTTGGTGTAGTCTAGAAGCAAAACATAACTATTGTCATGGCAAAAAAGAAGAATTGCTTCCTCCAGGAATTTAGAACTTGCCCTGGGGAGGGGCCGGGGATTTAGCTCAGCCACCTGCCTGGCAAGTGCAGGGACCTGAGTTCAATCCCCGGTACCAAAAAAAAAAAAAAAAAAAAAAAAACTTGAACTGTAAAAAAAAAAAAAAAAAAAAAAAAAAGAACTTGCACTGGGGAAAAGTGACCTCACTGTGTGACTTTTGAGTAACAAAAGGGTGAAGGGGCCAGTTTCAGAAACTCATTGAAAGAAATGAATATCCAGTGTGAGGTGGTTTTTGTCAAGCAAGTTGTGCTCAGAGAGGGGAAGGAGGCGCTCTGAGGCAGCAGAAGCCCATGCATGTTAGAGAGGCTGGGCAGGACTGAGTGGACCGGTTTGGTCAGGCAGAGGGACAGGAAGGGGATCTTGGAGGTCAGTCTAGAAAACTACTGGGGTCAGTGACAGACGGTTCCGAAGTGGTCGGGGTGGTCCTGGCAGAGTGCTGGGCTGGGGACAAGAGGACGATGGGCCAGCCCAGAGGTGGGAGTAGGACTTCGAAGCAACCCCTCCTGAACGTTGGGACTGGGATTGCACCTGTGTTTTGTGTGTCCCGTGCCTTGTCCTGTACCTGGCATGTAGTTGACGCTCCGTCTGTGTTAGGGGAAGTGGAGGTCATCGGGGAGCTCAGAAGTGACTGGACCCAGTGCTCATCAAAGAGACCTTTATGCCAGAGGAACAAGTTGCAGGAGAGGGGACAGTGTAGAACAGCTCAGTGGCAGGGCTATTGTCACCACGAACAGAAACCTGGAGGTAGAGGAAGAAAAGGGAGGGAGGTTAGCTTTAGAGCCACTCCTAGGACTTGGACTAGGCAGGAGGTGACAGGGCTCTAATCAAGGACAGTGGCAGAGAGATGGGAGAGTTAGATGTCGTCAGGTGTCAGGCTGGCAGGACTCCATTCATACGAGGAATGGCATGCCTTGGATGACAGGTATGGGGGAGGCACCACCACATGAAGTAAATTGGGCAGGAGGAGAGGCGATGAGGCAAGTGCCTCAGGAGACTGGGGACGCACATTCACCTGTTTTCACTAATGAAGTGGAAGTCAGCATTTACCCGGTGGCAGGCACTGTGCATCCCCTCCCCATCCCCACTTGGGGAAACTGAGGCTCAGGGAGGGGGAGCAAATTCCTGTGGTTCAGCTGATCAGCATCAGGTTAGCGCTCAGGTTGTCAGATTTCGGAGCCCATGTGTTTTCCGCTGCTTTTTCCGGTTGCTTTGCCTTTCTCTGTAAGGTTTTGCCAGCTGGAAAGAGCACAGGCCCTTTGTAGGGCTGTACAGCTGATCCAGTCCTATGGGCCTGTGAAAGCCCTTGGCCTGGGCCACATGCTGGCTGCGCCTGACCAGTTCGCACCTGGGCTTCTCAGGAGGCCTTCCCTGGCCTTGGACAGGAGCCAGCAAGGAGCTGTGGCACCATGACCACCTGAGCCTCCCCTGAAGTGGCAGTCTTAAATGGGTCAGGCCACGCCTTCAGATTTTTCTGGCACCGGTGCGTTTCCTGGGTGACCTGACACTTTTACCTTGAAGCTTAGAGTTTTACATCTGGAAAAGACCTTGGAAATAATTGAGTCCAGGCCCTGTCAGATGATGTGTGAAGTGTCAGGGTCAAGTTGGGAGATATATTTGACTGTTCTAGTTTTATTCTGACTCAAGAAAACCTGCCCCATCACTGTGAAGTGAGACAGATTCTACTGTGTGCCTCATGGAGCCAGTCCCAGGTGCCCCGCTGGTGTACATTGTTACGTCACATGTAGACACCTCTCACCGTGGGGGTGGGGGGGCAGGTGTCGCACAGATGTGAGCAGCATGGCTAATGTCACTCAAGAATAGTCAAGATGGTTTGAAATAGTGCAGTGGCGTTGAAAAATCCTGAGTTTGCCCAAATGGAAACATTTCTAAAGTAGCAGGAATCATTTTGCCAAAGTTAAAGTTTCAGCTGGGGATATAGCTCAGAGGCGCCGCGTCTGCCTGGCAAGTAAGTGCAAGGTCCTGAATTCCATTCCTGGTGTCAGAAAAAAAGTCAGAGTTTCCCTTTTTGTTCCCTGCAGTTGCGTGGATCTGGTTCTTTGGGAGGTGTGTGCGTAGTGATGATCCTAAGAAAGTAGGGTGCTGAATGTGTTAAGAATGTCACCACAATTTCCACTGCCTTCTTTAACATGAAGGAAATTCTCTGAACACACACTATTCGGGGAGTGTCTGACAGTCAGTGACTCTCTCTCTCCTACTGTGACACACCCTCAGTTTACCTGGGGACTGTTAGATGACTGTGTGGCCTCAGCTCTCGAGATTCCACCTTTGACAGTGGTGAAGAGCAGGTCATTACAGGTCAGAGTGATTAGGGCAGCAGAAGTTTCCAGTAATAGTGCGGAGGCTCTGAGAACTGGAGCAACCTGTTGGCCTGGTGAAAGTGACCTGGTAACAGCGAGGTGAGGAGAGGGTGGACATGTCCTGCAAAGGGAGCAGCCAAAGCACAGAGCCCACACATGAGGGTCTGTGGCATGTTGAGAAGAGGCCAGGGTGGGGCCACTGAGCTGGAGCACCCAGTGGGGACCCTGTCACAATGGCCTTGGATCCACGCCTGGGAGGTTGCTCTATAATGACAGCTCAAGGCCGCGTCCTGCCACTTACTGAAAGTGTGACTGCAAAACATGTGCCCTCCCAGCCTGGGTGGGTGGTGACACTCAGGCTGAGCAGGTGGGCTTGAAGAGTGCAGGAGGCAGCAGTGACTTGGGAGTCATCCATGTTTAGGTGGTGACAAGGCCTGATTATGGTCACAGCTGGTAGGCATGGGTGCTGGTTGGGCCCAAGCCGGGCAGAGCAGACTTGGAAAGGGTCTAGGGCAATACGGGTGGAGGGGCACCCAAGCACCATGACCCTGCTTTGGGGGCTCAGTGTCTCCCTTTCTGCCAGTTCACCAAAGACTTAGCCACAGGGCCAGGGTAAAAAAAAAAAAAAAAAAAAAAAAAAAAAAAAAAATACTCGGCCTGACGGGGACTGCCTAGTTTCAACTGAGTGTCAAGAGGTGGCAAAACAGATGATTCCTTTTTAAATCTTAACTGTGAAGTTTACATTTGGGAAAATTTACTCTTTGGTGTAAGATGAGTTTTTTTATTTGGCAGTTCTAGGGATTGAACTCTGGGCCTTTCCTTATCCTTTTTGTTTTTTATTTTGAGACAGGTTCTCAGAGTTGCCTAGGCTGGCCTCAAACTTGTGATCTTTTGCCTCTGTCCCCCGAGGAGCAAGAATTACAGGTGCACACCACCCTGTCCAGCCTTGGTTTTCTGAGTCATGACAAATAATTGTATAGACTTGTGTGACTACTACCATTGAAATAGTGGAAAGTTCTGTTATCTGAAAATAAAAATATTCCCTCTCGCTGCCCTTATGTGTTTAATCCCTCCCATTACACCTGATGCCAGGCAGCCACAGATTGTTTATGTATGGATGCTCTTGACTTACAGTGGGCCTGTACCCAAGAAACCCACTGTAACTTGAAAGTACCGTAAATCTAAAATGCACTGAATACACTTTGTCTACCAAATGCCCTAACCTAGCCATACAGTACGAGAGGCCCCCGACTTAACGAAACATTCTAGCTGCGAACTTTCATGGGTATACTATGTAAGACTCGCTTTGTCCGATTTAGGAATGACTCTAACTTCGGAGCATCTCCCAGGATGGAACTCACTGGTAAGTCAAGGACTTGCTATATCAGTGTTTACCCTCACGAGTGCATGGCTGGCTGGGAGCTGCTGCTGCCCAGCATCGTAAAAGAGAACTGGCTTATATATAACTAGCCCAGGAAAGTTTCAAAATCACAAATTCAAAGTACTCTTTCTACAGAAGGAGTATCACTTTTGTACCATCCAAGGGTCGTTAAGTTGTACCATTATAGGTTGGAAGCCATTTGTAGTTCTATCCTTTCCAGAATGCCATAGAAATGGAATCACAGGGCCGGGGATTTAGCTCAGTGGTGGGGCTGCCTGCCTAACAAGCACAAGGTCCCAAGTTCGATCCCCGGAACGACAACAACAAAAGAAATGGAATCACAGAGTATGTAGCCTTTTGGGTCTGTTTCTTTCACTTAGCAAGATGTCTTTGAGATTCACATGAGTAGCATGGGTAGGCAGCACCTTCTCCCTGCTCACTAGTATTCCTGGTCCAGGGTATTCTCGTTCACCCGGGGGACCCTTAGCTGACAGTGACAGAGCCTCCTTCAGTCCTCAGGGCTCTCACCCTTGAAGGGCCTAAAGGACATTGTTTGGTGACGGTAAATAAAGCTGTGACAAGCATTTGTGTGTAGGCTTTTATAGGAGTGCAGGTTTTTATTTCTCTTGATCAACAGTAGGAGTTGGATTATTGGATCCGGAGCGGAGTGTGTGTTTAACTAAGAAGCTATTTACTCAAAGTGGGTGTAACGACTTCACATTCCCACCTGCAGGGCAAGAAAGAGCTTGTTTGTCTCCGTTCTTCCCAGCACGCCACATGGTCATTGTTTTAGCCACATTCTGATAGGTGTGTGGTGATTTCTCCACGTGGCTCTTAGTTACATTTCCCCAATGACAGTGATGTTGAGCAGCATCTTCTGTGGGTTTTTTTTTCTTCTCTCTTTTGGTACCGTGGATCAAACTTGGGTCCTTGCGCTTGTGAGGCGGGTGGTGGAACCACTGAGTTAAATCCCTGGCCAGGTTTTTTTTTTTTTAAGACAGTTTTGATATGTAGTCCAGGCTGACCTCGAACTTACAGTGATCCTCCTGCCTCAGCCTCCCGAGTGCTGGGATTACAGGCGTGTGCCACCACATCTGGCTCATAGACTTTTTTGCAGGGGGCTATACCGTGGATCAAACTTGGGTCCTTGTGCTTGTGAGGCGGGTGGTGGAACCACTGAGTTAAATCCCTGGCCAGGTTTTTTTTTTTAAGACAGAGTCTTGATATGTAGTCCAGGCTGACCTCGAACTTACAGTGATCCTCCTGCCTCAGCCTCCTGAGTGCTGGGATAAAGGTGTGCGCCATCATGATGGCTAAGTGAGCATTTTTTCATCTGCTTATTTGTCATCCATACTTCAGTCTTGGTCTTTGGTGCAGTGTCCAGGTATTTTGCTCTTTTTGAAATTGCATTTTTTTCTTACTATTCTGAAAGCTTTTTATAAAGGTGTCCTTTTCTGCAAATATTTTCTCCAGTCTGTGGATATTAATTCCACCACCATCATTTGCTGAGTAAATTTTTAAATTTTGATGATAGTTTACCAGGTTGGTTTTTGTTGTTTTTTTTTGTGTGTGTTTTTTTCTAGGAATTTGTTTTTGGTGTTATAAGAAATCTCTGCATACCCCAGTATCACAGATTTTCTCCTAGAAATGTTGTATCTTTTTGTTTGTTTTGTTTTAGAACAGAGGTCAGCAGTTTTTTTTCTGTCAAGAACCAGATGGTAAATATTTTCAGCTCTGTGGGCCATACGGTTGTTCCTGCTCAGCTCTCATTGTAGTGGGAAAACCAGCCATAGATACACTACATAAGCAAGTGAAAGGGATTGTGTTCCAGTAAAGCTTTACTTGTAAGGACAGGCAGTGGGCCACATTTGTCCTACGTGATATGACCTATAGACTACAGTTTCAGAAGGTCCACTTTTTAGCAGGCATACAGGGTAGGGTTGAGTAATTGTTATTGTTCAGTTCATTCACGAAATTGGAAGAGCAGATACCTAGCTCTTAGAGAAAGTGTGAAGAGAGGGAGAGAAAAAGAAACAGGCAGGAAAAGGAAATGTTTGAATTATTCTTGAATGTACTATAGGGTGCGTTTTAAATTTTCCGAGTTAATTTATGCGGTTTGGAATGGGCTTCAGCAAAAGTTTTTGTTTGTCTTTGAGCTAATAATCTACTTTTAAATCTCATGGCCACAGTGTATTTGATGCATGGAGTTTTTCTTTATTAAACTTTAATGCTTTCTACTGAAAGTTGATATTTAGCCGTCCCCTGTTGAATCACCTCCAGTTTTGTATTTTTACAAGCCGCAGGATAGTATTCCTTCCGCCTATTAACCTGCACATGGGTTTCTTTCTGTAGAACAGATTCTTAGCCGTTCCCAGGCACAGGGTGGTGTTCACGTTAACGTTTTTGGTAGGCACTGCCACTATCCTCCAAAAAGGTTATACCATCTTGCAGTGTTGCCAGCAGTCGGTGAGCCTGTTTCCCCCAGTTTATCCTTATTTACGCTGGATTTTAATCCATCTCAGATTTTATCCCATCTGACAGGAAGTAGCATCTCATTTTATTTTGTGTTTTCTTCATTATTCATGAAGTTGAGCCTTTGTGTGTTTATTATCCATTTGGATTGTTGGCATCTATAAGTCCTAGTTCATATCCTTTCTCTGCTTATCTGTTGGCAATATGTTGGGTGTTTTTTTGTTTTTTTGTTTTCTTACTAATTTATAGATGTCTGTATTGTGTTCTCTCAACCTCAGCAGTATTGACATTTTAGGCTGGATATTCTTGGTTGTGAGCGCTCTCCTGTGCTTTGCAGAATGTTTAACAGCATTCTGGCTTCTACCCATTAGATGTCTGTAATACACTACTGCTCCCAGTGGAGCCGAACAGAAATGTCTCTAGACATTGCCCAGTGTCCCCTGTGGGGCGGAATTGCTGGTCCTGAGAAGCACCGATCTAAGTAATACACAGTAAATACTTTCCCTGCCAGACTCTTGGGACTTATCTTTGATTATGATGCTTTTCACCATACATTATGTTAAATATTAGGGAGTCTTAACTTTCCAGTCTTGTTTGATGCCAATCTATTGTTTGAAAAGTAGAAAGCACAGACACCTTCAAAAAAGTAATAGAAATGCTGGGAAATTGTGCTAATTTGCATGTTTGTGTGAGAATAGGATAGAGAAGGCCGAACACTTCCACTGAGAAGAGAGAAACCCAGCCTCATTCTTCTGCGCACTGATTCAGGGGTAGGCGGGAAATCTCCATACAGGAGGCTTGGCCAGGCTTTATTTGCTGGCAGAAGTGTTAAAGAAGGTCCGAGGTTCATGACTGTGCACCAGGCTCACACAGTGCAGAGCTGCGTACCTGACCTCTGGAGAGAAGTGGGCTGCCTCTGAGGCCTCCACGCGTGTGGGCACCCGTGCAGGGACGCTGACCGCTTAGCTTGGGCACCGCTGGTGGGACTCCCAGCAGACCCAGTGTGGGCTGTGCTTCCAGGGGAGTAGTCTCAGCTCTCCAGGCTGCTTCGATCCAGACACTCACTCTTCCAAAGCCATCCCGACTCCAGTTGTTACTGAAAGCAGAGACTGTGGCAGGCTGCAAGAGTTTGTGAAGACGGAGGTCCCCTGATCTCTCTACAGTTCCATAAGTCTTAGGGTACACAGGGCACAAAGGACCTTTGCCTGCCTGCTCAGTGATAAGGTGTGCGTGGTTGGGATGCTGGGGCTCACATTGTGAGCTCCTTGGTGTCCAGCTGGAGTCAGCAGTGAGCATGGGGTGAAGGCAGATGAATGCTCTCTTGGGAGCTGGGGTTAGGATGCTGCGATCCCTGTATAGCCCTCTTCATGGACATAGTTGAACTTTGAGCTGTTCTGTTTTGTGCTCATAGACTTTTGGTGGGGGGTGTTTTGAGACAGGGTCTCACTATGTAGTTGAGACTGATCTGGAACTGGAACTCACTGTGTAGCCCAGGCTGGTCTCAAACTCACAGCGATCCTCCTGCCTCAGCCTCCCGAGTGCTGGGATTACAGGTGTGTGCCACCACATCTGGCTCATAGACTCTTTTGCAGGGGGCTATACCGGGATCAAACTCAGGACCTTGTGCTTGCAAGGCAGGCGTGGTGCCACTGAGCTAAATCCCCGGCCCTAATTATTTTTTAGAGCAGTTTTTCCTTTTAATTTTTAAATTTTGTTTTTACCATAAAGGGGATTGAACCCAGGGCCTTAACACTAAGCTACATCCCAAGACCTTTTTAAATTTCTTTCTTTCTTTTGTGTGTGTGTGTGTGTGTGTGTGTGTGTGTGTGTTTTAAGTTTTGAGTCAGGGTTTTATAAATTACTGTGTTACCCACCCTGGGCGCAGACTTACATTTTTCCTGCCCTGGCCTCCCCGAGAGCTGGAATTACAGGCATGCGCCACCAGTCTCAGTTTAATGTAGTTTTAGGTTGACAGAAATTTTACATAGAAATTAGTCAGTGCCCAGGAACCCCTCCCCCAGGGCAGCATTTCTGCTGTTCTTCTCATCTTGCTCTGGTGTGATCACTTGTAATTGATGAGCCAATCTTGATACGTTGTTATTAACCAGAGCATGTGATTCACTTTAGGGCTCTTCCTGGTAGTGTTCCTTCTGTGGGATTTGACAGATGTCTCGCATCTTGCATTTCCCGTGAGAGCATCCCACAGAATGGTTTGGCTGCCCTAGAAATCCCCTGTGCTCTTCCTCTGCATCCCTTCCTGTCCAGGGCAGCCGCTGGTGTTTTTGCTGTCTGTGGTTTTGCGTCTTCTCAGAAGGTCATGCCCTGCAGCAGGAGCCCCAGTGTGTGCAGCCTTTACAAACACGTCCTTTCATGCACTAGTGTGCAGTAAAGCTCCTCCACGTCGGGCTGGGGATGTGGTTCAGTGTTGGAGCACTTGCCCTACTGTGGGTGAGGCCCTGGGTTCTATCTGTAGTCCGCAAAATAAAAATAGGTAAAATAAAAAGTTCCTCCTCATCTTTGTGGCTCTTCATGTCTCATTTCTTTTGAGCACTGAGTGATACTCCGTGATAGGTGTGCCATTAATGAATGGAGCCTGCTTGTCCGTTCCTGTTGAAGGATGGCTTGGTGGTCTCCTGGCCTTGGTAACTATGACTCAGGCTGCTCTGCGGGGCTACCGCAGGTTTTCATGTGGCCATCTCTGTCCTGATGGCAATGAGAAGAAAGTGCAGATGTAGTCATTACTTTTACCTGCACATACCGCAGTGTGAGCATTGGGATTTACGTGGTCTTGTTTTTCCCTTGCAGATTACAAAAAGAATACAATGTCTAATGGTTATGAAGACCACATGGCCGAAGACTGCAGGGATGACATTGGGAGAACGAATCTAATTGTCAACTACCTCCCTCAGAACATGACGCAGGATGAGCTACGAAGTCTGTTCAGCAGCATTGGTGAAGTTGAGTCGGCGAAGCTAATCCGGGACAAAGTAGCAGGTAAAAAGCCAGAGGCAACTGCGGAGAGGATACTAGCACTGTCCTCCAGGCGCTGTTGTCCCTGTCTATGCCAGTGCCTGTGTCCCGTTCCTCGGGGTAGAATAGCCACAGCCTCAGAGCAGTAGTTGTGGTGTTTCCTTTGTTTTTTTCTCACAGTGCCCTTGTGTGAGTTGGTTGTAGGTTTCCCGAGAAGAGAAATTCTCTAAAAGCCGGAGTACATATACAAAGTAAAATGTAGAAGCCCGTGTGGTGGCACACACTTGTTATCCCAATGCTTGGGAGGCTGAGGCAGGAGGATTGTTGTGAGGTTTAGGCCCTGTCTCAAAAAAGGGATGTGGCTGGAGAGGAAAATGAGGCACCACCAGAAATTGACTGCTGTGAAAGCCAGAAGGAGCCCGATTACAACACCCTGGCCCAGCTTGGTCTGCACAGGCTGAGCAAGGCCCACATGGCAAAGGGACTCTGGGGAACCTGCTGCTCGGGCCAGGACTGGGCGAGCCTGTCATGATCTCCGCAGACCCCCACTCACGGTTGGTCCCACAGTGGGACCCTGTGGGCAGCCTCTTGTCTCTTGACCAATCTGACTTTTAACTTGAACTTCTGCACCCAGGAAGCTTGAACTCCGGGGGGGGCAGGAGCAGGGCAGCTGGGGTGAGTGCTGGGCCTGTGTCCCCATGCATGCAGGGGTGGGGGCGCCTGCATCTGATGGCACCTACCTCGCAGGTGATCGCCACAGGCTGCATCCAGTCCTGGCTTGCATGAAGTCTCCATTCCGAGGCAGGGCTTCAGGGCTTTGGTGCAGGTGCTACAAGCACTGCTGCCTTCCTTTTCATCCTGAGAGGCTCCCTGCTGCTGCTGCTGCTGCTGCTGCTGCTGCTGCTGCTCCTCCTCCTCCTCCTCCTCCTCCTCCTCCTTCTCCTCTTCCTTTCCTCCTCCCCTCCTGCCCTTCCCACCCCTCCCCTCACTCCCTTTCTGCAGGCTGGGGAACAGAGTCATCTCAGAGCACTCTGGCTGCCACCTGGCTTGTAGGGACCTTGAGTCTGCATTTTGAAAGCTAATTTGAAAGTTTTTTAAAAAAATACACTTTTTTGTTATGGAAAATTTCAAGTATTCGTGAACAAAGAGTAATACATCGAACCCAGTGCCTACCGTCATGCTTCATTGACCTTCAACCTTTTCCCAGTGACCTGAGGACACCTGACCCTAAACAACCCCTGGCAGCCCTGTCTGGCAGCATTCAAAGAATTAGCCCTTCACATGGGGCGCTGAACCCAGGCGCCTTCTCCCGTCGAAACTCTGAGGGTCTTGTGATTTAATAAATACCTCCTAAATAAATAGACACACCTCCTAGAGAGGGACTTTCGATAATGTCCAAGCTGGAGCAGTGTTAGAGGGTTCCAGTGTTAGACTTCTGTCCTGAGTAAGAGAGGAATGGCCAGAGGGGCTCTAAAATTGCCTCCAGCAAGTCCTGCCTTCTCCGCTTGGGTTCTGAGGGAGGGAGAACAGGACTTCAGCCCCGAGCTTCCCCAGTGCCAGAGTGGGATTTTCATTATCTGATCTCTGAGCTTGTTCACTCACCTACTCGCCTACAGTGTTTCCAGAGGAAGGTGAGCTGTGCTCGCAGGAACACCTGGCTTATAGAGGTCTGTCCTGGAGTCGTGAAGGTACAGACTGTGACCTGCACTTGTTCAGTACCGAGATAAGATTTGTCTTCTCTTTGGGGCAGCAGTCCACATGCCAGGAGTTGTGCAGGAGGCACTAGGCTAATGGCACAGCTCAGTGTCTCGCCAGGAGCCCCTCAGGTGCAACAGTTGGGGCCGGGTATGGTGGTCCATGCCTGTAATCCCAGCACTTGGTGGTCGAGGCAGAGGATCGCCATGAGTTCAAGGCCAGCCTGGGCTACACAGCAAGCAAGCCCCTGTCTCAGAAAACAAAAACAGAAAGCAGATGCAGTGAATGAAGCTTCTGGACAACTCAGGGAACCCCTACTTTTCTCCTGCTGCCACCAGCATGTGACAACTTTGCTGGCTGATCCTGAGGCTAGGGACTTCGATTTCACTGTGATACCACTCGAAAGTTCTGGCCATCTTTTTCCTGGCTGGAGCTCGAGTTGCCCATCCCAGCAAGAGTCTTACACCCAGCCGGACGAGTGCTGCCACCAAATCCTATCCCAGCCTACTCAACTCGCCCCATAGGTGTCTCCACCCACCACATCCCTATTACGGTGTCTTCCCTCCTCCCACCTACGGCCGGCGCCTGCTTACCCTGGATCTCCGCAGGGTTGCCCTGTTAGCGTTCAGAGTCCTTTCCTAGTTCCCTGACTTTCTCCAGCCTAGGGTTTCTCTGCATCAGCACTGCTGCCCCTCGGGACCAGACAATTCTGCCTGAGCCAGGCCATGCATTGTGGGGTGTTAGTGTTCCTGGCCTCCACCCATTTGAGCTGGTAGCACCTTCGGAGTTGTGAAACCAAAACTGTCTGTAAACACTGCTGCAAGTCCTTAGGGAGGCACCCTACCCTGTGAGAGCTCTGCACGGTGTCCTTCCACAGAGATTGAGTCCCATTTCACTTCCTTCGATAAGCATCTGCTCCTGTTGACTTTCTACCCTGGAGGCCAGGTTGGGTCTCGTTTGCAGCTGTCCTTTTCCCATCCTGGGTCTGGGTCCTCAGGGTTATTCTGTAGCCCCAAGTGGACTTTGGGTGAGCGGATGCTCTCACAGCTCCGTGTAACCCGTTTGTCTCCCACCTTGACCAGAAAGACCTGACCTGAGGCCCCTCAGCACCACGGACTCGTATTCTAAATGGATCTTGTCCTGCAAGCTGGCCATTCATGTCCAGTGTCCCTGTCTTAGTGGATGGCACCACTGTCCACACAGTGGCTTGGTCAGAAACTGAAGGTTGTTTTCTGAACTCCTAGATCAGTGGTGGCGGACCTGTGGCCTGCATGCCGCAGCAGGCTGTTGGTGTCCTTGGAAGCTGTCAGAGGTCTGCCATCCCTGTTCTGGATGTTTCTGCAGTCCATCCCTGTGCTGCATCTCCCCAGGCACCAGCCCAGCCCGGGTCACCATCACCTCTGCTTGCACTTTTGCTGTGGCCTCTATACTGCTCCACATCTTCCCTCCAGATGTCCTCACTACAGCAAAGGGGCCTCTTCCAGAGCCCTGTGACCTTGTTACTCATCTTCAACACCCTTCGGGTCCTGGCCTGAGCTTGCTTGTGGACGCCCTTCCTGCCCCACCCAGACAACATCAGGTCCTTGCCTTGGGTTTCCATGGCAACCAGGAAACCTTGTACCAACCTTATTGAGGTTGGAACTTTCTCCTCTAATACATCAACATAGTTCTCAGAAACACTATTAACCCCTGTAGCCCTGGATGTAGCCACAATACTCGCTGAATGAATGGGTGAAGAATGCTTTGAATTGGGGAGAATGCAGATTAGCACACATGTTCGTTCAGCATTTATTAGGGGCCAGCCACAGACTGGGCACTGGGAGCAGGTTAGTAAGGGACGTGGTTGTGGTCGGGATGAAAGAGTTGTGCAGTTGCTGGCCTGAAGATCAAAAATAAGCCAGGGTTGCGGCACTTGTTGACGGTTCCAACCATCGATACTAGCTGCAGAGTGCTACCACAGTGTCCAGCAGTACCACTTGGTGCCTTCCTGCACAGCCCTGCGTATTCTTTCCTTGGTGTCTGGTCTCTGCAATAGCCCGTGTGACCCAGGGCAGGAGCCAGCCCTCCGCCCTCATGTCTGTCCCACATCCACCAGCTTCCCACTGTCGGCCCATTTGGTTAGCTTCTGTCTCACTGCCACCCACCCGGGGTCAGGATAAAGCCATGGCCTTGTCCTGCCACTCCCAGGACCCCTGCCCCACATCCCACTCTCTTTTAGGCTGGGTTGGGCTATTCATCACTTCCCAGATGGCCTGCTCCTGCCCTCAGGGTCTCCCCAGTGCCCTTCCCTCTGCAGGAATGCCCGCTGTGCCGTGCTGGCCTGGCCACTGTCTGTGACGTGAGTCATCCTTGTTCCTTTCAGAAAAACTTAAGTGTGATACAAACAGGAAGAGAAGCTTAAGGCACCCATCATCCCACCATGGCTCACTTAGGGTACCTGTCCTCCCACGACTTTCCTATTCCTACTTATTGCATAAGTCCTGCTCTGCTACAGAAATGGACTAGTGCCTTGCAAGCTGTATAGTAAACTAACTTTTCTTTTGTATCTGGACTTTTTTTTTTGGTCACTGAACATGGCACTATCTAGCGTCACAGTGGTTGCATGGTAACCAGTTTTTCCTATTTCCATATTTATAAGCCCCGCTTATAAATTAAATATCCTGGCACCAGTCTTTGCTTGTTGGCTGTTTCCGTAGTAGATCTTCTGGAAGTGAAGCAGCAGATGGGAGAGTGTCCTTCTAAGAACCCTTGGTCCCTGTTGCCAACTCTCCCTCCCTTCTACCAGCCCTGCTGTCCTTGGGTCTGGCAAGGTTTCTCCTCTTTGCCAGCCAGAGATGTGACGAATGACATTGGATCATGGTACTGATATGCATTTCTGGTGAAGTTCACCATTGTTTCATCCAGGCTGTTTGTGTTTCTTTTGTAAAATACTCTTCTTGTCCTTTGCCCATTTTCTTTCTTTTAGAGCCCTTTGTGGTTTTTTTGTTTTTTTTTTAACCTTTTGCCTGATGAATTCACTCCCCCACAACCCAAAACCCGGACTCTTAGTGAAGTGTTGTGAAGCGAGGGGTCATGGCACCAGTCTTAGCGGTCACCCCAAGTCAATCCGAGGCTCTGCTTCTGAGAACACTGGGATTGAAGTGTAATGTGTGGCAGGGTGGGGTAGACGCTGGGACATCGGCTCTGATCTCAGCCCTTGTCTAGGAGTAAGAGAAATGTGTCTGGAACAGCAAGGGCACAGGCCAAGTCTGCTCAAGGGCTGCCCTCCAGGGTTCTTCTGGCCACCACTGGTGCCTGGGGACTTGGAGACATTCTGGGGCCCCGCCCATGTGCACCCCATCAGCCACTCTGGAGAGTTACTTACTTCATCTGGGTTTTAACTGTGGGGAGATGATGCCGGCAAGGCCGAGAACCAGGGCACAGAACCTGCCTTGTGGCCAGAATCATGTTCCTACAATTTGGGAAGATAGGAGCTTGGGGAGCGCTGGTCTCTGCAACATCCACAGACCTCAGACTCAGGGTTGCGTAGTCTTCTTGCTCTTGCCATCTTTCCCTTCCCTCTTTCCTTCACCCATCTCCCAACTGGGGGACCCTGGTTGCCTCCCAGCCCTAAATCCTGGCAGGCCCTGCTACCTAAGCTCACATCAGCAGGATGTGCCTAGCCTGGCAAGGCCCCCAGCCCCCTGCTGCTCACCAGCCCTCAGGCCTCCCTCACTCCCTGGGACCGACCTCCATCTCTCCTAGATGGGGTGAGGGCCAGGGAAGAGACATTGGGAAGGGGCTTGGCAGTGTGGATCTGCACACTGCAGAATCTGGTCCCAGACTGAAGCTGGCTGTGCAGAACTGCATCACTGCCCACATTGCAGACACCTGGAGCAGGCAGCATGCAGACTGCTGCCTCCCTCCTCTCCTTAGGCCTGTCTCAGGCACCTGCTCAGTACGCATTGACCAGGCCAGCCCTGCCCTCTGCCCTCCTGCCCATGCACCCCGTCATTCTGCATCTTAACTGGCTCCCGGGTGCCTCCCTGGGCGAGTTTTGCTCGGCTTTGCTAGCTGCGCCTCCTTTCCTGGGGCCCAGCAGAGTCGCTGCTGCCTTGGCTCCTCGGCACTTGCTCTTCAGTCTGGACTGCTGAGGCCCAGCCACACTGAGGTCTTGATTCAAAATTTCCTTTCCCATGGCTCCCCTGACTGCCCTGATGTGGCCTGTGGGTTCAGCCCCTCCCGGGTGCAGCAGGGTCTTTGCCCATTTATTTCTGGTTTTCCTAGGATCTCCCATAGGTGTGGTAGCTTTTGTTGTGACAGCAGCTGTCCTCTGTCCTGAACACCGGGCTTAGGACCTCACTGGGGAGGGTGGAGGAGGAGGAGTGCCCCAGGATGTGTGACATTGGCAGGGGTCTGTTCTTGCCCCACCAGGAAGCGCATAATGGCTGAGGGGGCACAACTGGGCTGACTTCTGTCCTAGAGGACAAGCAGGTCCCAGTGCTGCCAGGGTTCAAGGACACATGTCCTGAAAGGCTTGGGGGGCAGCACCCAAGAGTCAGCAGTGGCTACCCTGGGGTCCAGCTGGGGTCAGCTGGGAGATGAGATGGCGGGAACCAGGCTGGGCGGGGATATGTTTAGCCATCTGTGGCTGAAGATGCAGGGCAGGGCCCAGGGTGGGAGTCCTCAGTGGGGCGGGATTTCCTCATCAGTGCTTAAGCGCTGAAACCCTGCACCTAGTGGAGCCACGGTGCTGGGTTGGGGGCAGAGCAGGAAGACAAGGCAGTTGCTCTCCGGGAGAGCTGTGGCCCCGCAGCCCTGTTGCTGCTCCCCACTCTGTTTAGGATCTGGAGCCCAGTTTCTCGGACCTGTGGAGTGTTTTTAGAAATATGGGTTTAGAGGATCAGGTTTTGTTGGTTTAAAAAAGTCCTCTGCCGAATTGCAAATAATGCATATAAGCTGCTGCACCCTGAAGGAAACAAGGCTGCCCCTGGGGTATTGGCTGCAGCCCATGACTTCTTTCGGATAGGGGTCCGGGAGTGCCTGGCAGTGGAGATCCTCGCAAACCAACCACCAGCCAAGTGATGGAATGTGCCTTGCACCCTGGATAGGATGTGACAGGGGGGACAGTCCACTCTCTGGTCTTCCCACCCTGAGATGCTGTCACAGCCCAGGGCATCCTGAGGACACGTGCTGATTAGACGCAGGGTGCCTTCCTGGGTCAGGAAAAGTAAGGGCATGAGGCATGTGTGGCCTCGGTAATGGTAATGTCCGGACGGAGGGAGGGAGAGCGGTGCTAGAGGACCCACCAGGCCTCCTGCTTCTCCAGGGAAGGGTGTGGCCAGGTGCCTCCTCCCTCCCCGAAGCTGCTCTCCCTGGGTCTCCTTGCCATGCTCTGTCTGCCCCTGGTATCCACCTGGTAGTGGCTCCTGTCTGTCCTGAGTGTTCCACAGAGGGGCCAGGGACACCAAGCCTGTCACCCTTGTTCTTTTGCCCAAGAGGACCTCAGGTTTCCGGCGGCCCTGAACGTGAGCTGACGACTATTACAGTGGAGTCTGTGCCAGAGAGGTCATGGAGCTGGGCTTGGGCTTCTCTTGGCTCTGGCTTCTCCTCGGGCCCCTTTCCTTCCCACTCCTCGGCCATGTCCAGTTGGTCCGTGTTGTTTAGGAAGCAAAAACGTGGGGGTGAGTGAGCAAAGGACCGCCGGCTGTCTCTGGGCTCGCTGGTGTGTCCCTCTTTACCCTCACTCTCCAGGGCCCCACAGCCCGTGAGCCTGATCATAACGCATTACTGCCTTTTGTGTAACTTTGAAAGTACAAAAATGACTTGTTCATTACAAACATGGATGAGTTTGCCAAAGAAAGCTAGAAAGTTTGCCCCATCTCGAGTCCACATGCACAGCGGCCAGTGCTCCTAATATTTCTGAGTGTGACCTGTCATTTTTTCTGGCCCTGCCCCTGCCCCTGGTCAGTAGAGTCCTGCTGGCTCTCCTGTCCTCTCGCCCACCCACTCGCTGCAGCTGGTTTATCTCTGTCCTCCTGTTCTCCCATGCAGGACACAGCTTGGGCTATGGCTTCGTGAACTACGTGACTGCAAAGGACGCAGAGAGAGCGATCAACACCCTTAACGGCCTGAGGCTCCAGTCCAAAACCATTAAGGTAAAGAGACTTGATTGCCTCTCTTCCATTCCTTCTGAGGCCTGGCTTTTGTGGCCTTGGTAATGACTGTCTCAGGCTTTGCACAGGTGGCTCGGCCTCCTCAGCCTCACCAGCGAAAGGTGCCGTGAAGGTAATGCACGCAGGGTCGGGCGTCACCCTGGCCCAGGGTCTCTCCCGGGGTATGTCAGCTCACAAGGAGCCTCCTCCACAGCCCCCACCTGTATCTTGGCCTCTGTCACCAGGTTCCCAGCCTTCTCAGGCTTTGCACAGGTGGCTCGGCCTCCTCAGCCTCACCAGCGAAAGGTGCCGTGAAGGTAATGCACGCAGGGTCGGGCGTCACCCTGGCCCAGGGTCTCTCCCGGGGTATGTCAGCTCACAAGGAGCCTCCTCCACAGCCCCCACCTGTATCTTGGCCTCTGTCACCAGGTTCCCAGCCCCAAGCAGTTCCCGCCTCTGTGAACATGTGGCTGGCTCGGCCCTCCAGTGGCTCCTGGCTTGTGGCAGCAGGCCTCCTACTGCCCGCCTCCTGTGCCTTTCCTGCCTTCTCCTAGAGTAATCAGACCTTCCTCTGGCCCATTCATTCCACACCTGTGGAGCACCGCTGTGTCCACAGATCTGGGCCCCAGGGCATGGAGCTTCAGGGCTGTGGGGCTGTGGATGGTGAACACTCCAGGTGACAGGCAGATGTTGGTGGAAGGCTTCACAGTCCACAGAGGACAAGGGTACCAGCCTTGTAGCCCCTGCAGGGGGCCTCTGACTTGGCTGTGATCCTCCCCCCCGCATCAACTCAGTCAGCCTCCTCTGCCTCTGTCCTCCTGAGCCACTTGAAGGGCTGTGCTCTCAGCCCGAACTGCCCCCATCCTTATCCGTGTCTGCCTGCCAGTTCTCGTATTGCAGGAGCACCATCCACCCGGGACCAGCTGTCTTCCTCCTAGCCCTTATTCCCTTGTCTGCTGTCACCCCGGACACAGCTAAGCCTTCCCCGAGCCTCCTGCCCATGACCTGGTTTTCTGCTGCTGCTTGGCAGCCATTGTGCCCACCATCCCTCAGTGTGCACCTTCATGAGATACCCACAGCCTGGCTCCTCATCTCTTGTTCCTGAGATGTGTGCATGCTGGAATCGTTTCTCTCTTTCTCCCTCTCTCTGTTTCTCTCTCCCTCTCTCCCTCTCTCCCTCCCTCGCAGTGCTGGGGATTGAACAGCAGGCCTTTACACATAGCTACACCCCCAGCCCCATTTTCCACCCCTCCCTTATTTTGAGCCAGGATCTCACCAGGTTGTCCTGGTTGGGCTTGAACTTTTGAACGTTCTACCTCAGACTCCCAGAGTGCACCACCACACCAGCTTGGAATCGTCATCGTCAGCCTCACTCTGGGGTGGCCCTGGGATCCTTATTTTGGCAGCCTACCAGGGAAGCCTCCTGACCTGTCCTTAAACTGCTCCCTGATCTTGCTTACTCTGCGGCCATGACCTCCCTGGAGCCACTCACGCAATAGCAGGTCTCAGACCTGCCTTGTGTCTTGTAGCTGTGGAGTGTGCTGTGGGCTCCCAGGGTAGGAGCACGACTTCCAAGTCCTTTTGTCCACTCAGGCCCAACAGAGGAGGCTGGTAAAGGCGACCTCACCTTCTGCAGGAGCACCATGTTGTCTGTCCTCAGCCTAGGGTTCCCCAACTCTTAGAAACAGTCTCCTCCATTTGGGAATTGTTTTCATGCTCTTGTTTCTGAGGCAGCCAGGCTGAGGTGAGAGCAGACCAGTTATTCATAAATGCAGAGTTCTGCTTCTTCAGATGTAAACACAGCCCCATGTGAGTCTGGTGCTTGTACCTCTTCCTGATTGATGCTGGCAGGAAATGGCCCTACCTGAAGCTGAAACCAGGAGCTCCCAAGACCCTGGGGAGCAGGCCCAGGCACACTGCCTCTCCTTGTCACCCTAGCCAAGTGCCTTGCCTTTGGACATCAGAGCCTGGTGGTTTTCCACCATTCTCCTAGCTCTGCAGAAACAGATCAGTCCCTCGGGAACATGAGGCCCTCAGTCATCATTTCTCTTCCTGTCACCTTGGAGCTGCACAGGCCTGGCTTCTTTAGCGGTTCCCCCAATGTGCTCTGGGGTGCTTTGTGTCCCCACCACACACCCTCGTCAAAGCAAACCTTTACTGAGCACCCAGCCAGTTCTGTGCTGAGATGATGCTTGGAGACTGGGAGACTTCAGATCTCCTGCCTTGACCTTGACAGCCTTCTGCTCAGAGGTGACACCCACGCAGCTGGGTGAAGACTGCGGCAGGGATTTACTCAGCATCCACCTAACCCCCGCTGGAGTGCTCCAGTCCTGTTCTGACCCCAGCCACCCACAAGTGTAAAGGCACAGTCCCCAAGAAGGCTATCCTGACAGATGCCAGGTGCACCCTGAGGTCCCTGGGTCGGGACTTCTGACCCAACTGCTCAAGTGTGGGCCCTTCTGTTACCAGAACTCACAGGTCCGATTACAGTTTGATTATAAAGATGCAAATCAGGACCCACCAAATGGAGAGGGCACAGCACAAGGTCCAGCAGGGTCCCACACAAAGCTCTCTGTCTCCGCCCATGGAGTCCGGGTACCTTACTGTCCTCCCAGCTGGGAAGTGCCACTGAGCTTCTTGTCCAGTCTTACCGGGTTCTCATCCTGTAGGCATGAGTGGCTCAAAGCCCCAGCCCTCTGACCTTGAGCTCCCATCCCGAGCTACCTCTTAGCACAAACCAGGTGTCTCCCACAGTTCCTGAGGGACTAGGAAATCCCAGGGGTTTTAGAATCGCTCGCCAGGAGCCCAGCACATGGTCCAGACCTTTTTGTGTTGTTTTTGTTCTTTAGGCCTTTTTCGTTTTGTTTTGTTGGAGGAGGGGTCTTGTTATATTACTCCAGGCTGGCATACACAATCTTACAAGTGTGGCCTGACCCCCTGCCCAGTCCTGGGGCTGGCTGTCAAGAGCACTGCTGTGCACACTGATGCAGCCCCCAGATCGCCTGCCCTAAGAGGGTCCTTTGAGAGGCTCAGGCAGTGCCAGGGAAGGTCCTCCAAGAAAGCCAGGGTTGATCTGGAGGAGGAGTCGACCAGGGACCCACAGAGGCCAGCGGTACCACTCATGCATGGGCACGAGGCAAGGGTGCTGCAGTGCAGGAGACCTGGTGGTCAGGCCCATGCTGGGAACCTGCCTGGGGCTCAGGGTCCCTGTCCTGCACAGCTAGCTCAGTTGTGCCGCTCCCCACTCCCCATTTGCCTTTTCCCTGGGGCATAGGCAGGCAGCCTCGATAGAGCAGACGCATGGAAGAGCCAGGCCAGGCACGGCATGGGGACTGTGGGCCTGTGTGATTCATGCAGCTCACACTTGGGAAGTTTACAGTGGCTGACCCTTCTGGCCTTTGTCTGTTCTTGCCACAGCCCTGTAACGTGAGCCCATTTAGGGCTGAAGAAGCCAGGTTTCTGAAGAATGAAATGGTCTTTGCAAGGTCACAGCCGGAGGGTGGGGCAGGGTGTTGCTGTGGCCTCTGGCACTTGCTGCCTGTGCCTGGCAGCTTCCCCAGGAGCCAGAACAATGTAACTTGTGTTACCAGGGCTGGTGCAGAGAGGCAGCGTTCTGAGCCCCAGTGCTGCCTGCCCATTCCACAGGTGTCTGCTGAACACCTACACTCTGGGTGCCCTGATCCAGCAGAGATCACCCAGTGTTTAATCCATGGAGTCAGTTAACTAAATGCCACAGTGCTCCAGGTAGTGACAAAGGCAGTGGCCCTGACTGACGAGGGACAGGAGGGGGTGGCACACTGCACGGGTCGGGGAGTGTGTGAGCTGCTGGGGCAGCTGTGATGGCATTCCTAGACCAGGCACCTCAAACCACAGAAAGTAGCTATATCTTGGGCCGGGGAATTAGCTCAGTGGTGGTGCACCTGCCTTGTAACCATAAGATACTGAGTTTGATCCTTGGTATCCGAAGAAAAACAAAAGAAAGTAGCTACATCTCATAATTGTCACATGAAATTGTCCAGGGCCCAGGTCAGGCTACCTGGGCTGGCTCCTTCCGGAATCACTGGGAAAGGATCGGTCCCAGGCCTGCCTGGCACAGCCCCCCTCCCAATCTAGGGGGTGCTGGCAATCCTGTCCTTTCTGGGCTTGTAGAAGCCCCACCCCACTCCCAATGTGTACCTCTGTCCACAACTCCCCCTTGGCACTGGGACATGATCACCCTCCTCCGTGTGGCCCCATCTTAGCTAAGTACCCTTGCAAGGACCCTGCCTCCGAATCAGGTCACATTCCAAGCTCCCTGAGGATGAATTTGGGTTGGGGGATGGGGACACACAATGTCACCCCTTACAAATTTCCCAGGAAAGGGGCAGGAAAAGACTTGATTGAGCCTGAAGAACAGGAGCTTAGGAAAGGGTGTTGGGGGCTGGGGTGCTGTGGAGCAGCACCCCGGCCGTACCCCAGGTCCACACACACCTGGGGGCCAGCTGCTCTCATGTAGCCTCATCTGGCTCCATTTGACCCTGAGCATGGCAGTGGCTCGAGAAAGGTCCTTGCAGTCCCTGTGGTCCTGTGGCACAGCAGTTTCCCTCAGCATTCGGCCCAAGGCATTTCCTTCGGGGCTTCGTCTGGGGCCTAAGAGTAGTCAGCATGGCCTGAGTGCTGCTCTGCCAGTGCCCGGTGCGGCTCGGGGGTGCCTGTCCCCTGTGTCCTTGTGGAAAGCCAGGCTGGGTGGGTCTGCAAAGGGCCTGGGCCCAGGGTGGCGAGGTCTTAGGGTGCGGAGTTTTCCTCTAGTTGCCCTCCCCAAATGGGTGCTTAAAGGGGCATGGCTGGGAGTGGTGCCTTCGGACAGGAATGTGGGTAGGGTCAGCCTCACACTTCTGGCTCCTGAGGAGCCGTGGGCCGAGATGAGTAGCCGAGTGCACCTGGAGTCTCTGCCTCACGGCCACACCGAGGCACTTTGGGGACCTGGGGACAGACAGGAAAGCCAGTGTGCTCCACTCCGCTTCCTCAGAGACCTCCAGCACCTCGGGACCTGGTGTCCTCAGCATCCTTCCTGCCCGGTGCCTGCTGAGAGTTGAGCTCCCTGTCTAGGCCTAGGCTCCACCCCTTGGCACTGGCCCCTGAGCCGTCTCCCATGCTGCCAGGCCACACCTGGGAGGGCAGAGGCTCCCGGCAGCTGCTCCTCCTCCCTAGAATGGGTCTCACACAGTTGTCAGCCTCAACCTGCCACAGTACTGCACAACTTTTCTTGCTGTTGGCTCTGGCCCCTATCCCCTCTCTTCAGTCACTTAATGAAAACGGGAGGCTGAGGTAGGAGGATTGCAAGTTCAAGGCAGCCTGGGCTACATACTGAGCTCCGTCTCAATAACAAACAAATTGGGCCGGGGATTTAGCTCAGTGGTGCCGCCGCCTGCCTTGCAAGCTCAAGGTCTGGAGTTTTATCCCCAGTACCAAAAACAAACAAACAAATACTGCATGCTTACATACTGGACTCAAGGTTCCCCAGAACTCCCGGGCCCCTTGTGGGTTTGTGTGGAGAGCTGCTGTGGGCAGGGGGCGTTGCATTCTCTCAGAGGGACTCCATGTTGCTTCTGCCACACCACCAACTCTCACAGGCACAGACCAGGGCCTGCCCTCAGCTCTGGCCCATTGTCAGCTCATCAGGAGGGCATCAGCCCATGGTGGGAGAAGAGCAGGTGGGCCTGGGGCCCAGTCCTGCCTCCCCCTGGTGTGGGCTGTCTTCCAACCTGGGAGTGGGGATAGTGTCCACACTGGGTGGCAGAGGCCAGGTGAGGGGACATACAGGGTGTGTGCCAGCACGTCCCCTGCAGGTGGCAGATTACCAGTGAGAAATGGTCCTGTGCTCACTTTCTTAGCACGGCATTAGCTGTTCTTAACCCCAGATCGTAGGATGTTTGATCCCTCGGTACTTTGGCCACATACCTGTCCTAATGTAGGAAGTGGTTTTGTTTTTAAGGTGTCGTACGCACGCCCGAGCTCAGAAGTCATCAAAGATGCCAACTTGTACATCAGCGGGCTCCCGAGGACCATGACCCAGAAGGATGTGGAGGACATGTTCTCTCGGTTCGGGCGAATCATCAACTCGCGGGTCCTTGTGGATCAGACCACAGGTATAGCGGGCGGTTCAGGACAGGCTGCAGGGCTTCCCTCCAGGCCAGGTCCAGCTGGCCAGGGAGATAGCTCACTGCTGGGGTTTGTAGTGGTGTTAGCTACTCCTAAGATAAGGGCAGAATCGGAGTGAGAAGGTGTTGATTTTCATGGAGGAGGCTGAGGGCATTCAAAGGACTCCTGAGATTAGGCCACCATTTTATGGTGAAAACCCAGAAATCCTGGCACCTCCTCCGAGGCACCTGGTGCCAGCCATCTGCTGGTGTTCTCATTGCAGGCAGACAGTGTGTGTGTCTCTTACGGTCCCAAGTCCCCACTTTGCCGCCCTGTGCGACGCGGTGGCTGTTTGAGAAGAGCCATCCTCAGGCCCCGTGACCGGGGAACCCTCTGCGGCACACCCGAAGCTCAGCACGGCGGCCCTGCTTCCCTCCCTGGCAGCTCCGGCTGCTCGGCTGCCCTCCCACTGTCTCAGCACAGGGCTTGGGGCGAGATGAGCCAGGGACCTGCGTACATGCTGTGTCCCCACCCGACTGTCTAGGGGCCGAGACCAGGACCAAGGGTGTCCTGGTCTGGGGAACTTCGGTCAGGCCACCCCTGCTTTAGAATCCTCTGCTCTTCCTGGCAGGGGTGGGGATAGCTGACAAACCAGAAGGCAGGATCTCTGTTCTCAGGCTCAGCGAAGCGCACTGCGAGTCTTCATGGGCCTTCACATTGCTGTGTGACTGGTGGCACCCCAGGCCACGGGGTTCAGACCATGGGGAAGGTCCAGCTCTGAGGCCACCTCCCTTTTGACAGACAGCAGCACCCCTGCGGCTACAGTGTGAGGGAGCTGGGCCCTCTGCTGGGACAGGTGGGGCAGGGACTATGCACACTGAGCTCCGTCCTGCCCAGCTTTGTGCTGTGGAGCAGGTGGCTACAGTAGCTCCACCTGGGACCACCAAGCCACCATATGGGGCTGGGACCTGAGGAGGGCAAGCGGCTGCTGCAGTCCAGCTGAGGCTCGTTGGGCTTCTGGAGCTCCGCCCCTGGGCGCAGGACACAGACATTTGTAGGGCTTTGGGGTGGCCTGTGACAGTGCAGCCTGGGGCCCTTCACACAAATCCTTCAGTCTGCCCTGCGCCGGGACAGATGGAACCGCCAGGTCTATGCCAAACATTTCTTTTTTTTTTTTTTTTTTTTTTTTTTT